ATGTTTAAGCGACAGGGCCAAGAACCATTTCAAAAATAGGGATTTCGGCAAACAAAACGAACAAAAAGAACCACGGTACATCATCCACATGATCATCGGCGACGTCGATACCCCTCAAGTGTCGGTGCTTAAACGCACTAAGACCTCGGTTATGAGAGAAAAGCGGCCTCAAACTCAGGATTCCGCGCCCATAGGAACTTTGTCTTTTAATAATAAAGATGCAGAAGGAGTCATGCAACCTCATAACGATGCACTAATAATATCCGTACTTATGAATAAAACTAAAGTTAAGCGTGTGCTAATTGATCCAGGTAGCTCGGCCAATATTATTAGATCGAAGGTTGTAAAATAACTCGATTTACAGGACCAGGTCGTACCCGCAGCCCTGGTTCTAAACGGATTCAATATGGCATGTGAAACCACCAAAGGCGAGATAATTCTGCCGATAAATATGGTCGGGACCATCCAGGAAATGAAGTTCCACGTAATCGAAGGCGACATGAGGTACAACGCCCTTTTTGGAAGGCCATGGATCCACAACATGAGAGCTGTACCGTCAATCCTACACCAGGTTCTTAAATTCCCAACATCGAAGAGAGTCAAAACAATGTACGGTGAACAACCGGCCGCGAGAGAAATGTTTGTCGTCGAATAAGCAATTCTGATATCCTCACCTTTGTATGAGATAGCCATTGTAGCTGTATTAATTCTTAATGTTCTGTTTCATACCTTTGTACTGCTGGTTGATAAAATTTTGCCCATACTTAGAGTCCACATGGTGTGTTCCTAATAAAGTTATCTGTTTTAGGATTAATAATTCAATAATTAGCATTTAATTATGGATTTACTACTTTCTATTAATTATATTTTAAAATGGTCATATTTGTCTGGACCTTTTGCAGCTGAAATCTCCATCTACACCTATGTTATGATGTTAATGACAGCTTTTGCACTATTGAATTTTACGTGAGGAAGAAGAATCTTTTAAATGAAGATTATATCTTCTTGAAAAGTTAATAGATATATTTTTTTTGTTTAAATTCCTACCAAACGTTTCGGTAGCCTATTTAGGTTCTGGCTAATCTAGATTCGCACTTTGAAAAAAAACTTTGGGAGTAAGGCGCTCCCTACCATAGACTACTCTATATTCAGGGCTCAGACCCGACTCTCTTATTAAGGAGATTCTTGCACATTAATGGTTCTTGCAAGATTCCTTATTAAGAGGATAGCTACTAGCTTACATAGCAATGGCATGTATTACTCGTCAGTCTATATACGGTCGAAACTGATTTCGGTCATCGTACGATTGATCGAGATGGTATCATAATGGACCAAAGAAAGACTTCATAATATCGAGATAAATTCCGAAGATGGAACGAACGAGCTTCAAATTTTAGGTATAGGTCAAACACCGAGTTCAAAATCATTATCGAGCTCGGGTCCGAAACGAACTATGATGAGATGTTATGGAATCGAGCTTAAGGGGCAGAGGCCAATCGATACCGATACCGAGCCCGAGTCATTACCAGATCCCGAGTCGGCATCGAGCTCAATTCCGCATCGAGCTCTAAAAACAATATCGACCAACACCGAATCCGATCTAGCTCGAGCTCACAGACAAGAGTCGTTGCAACCGCACTAAGGGAGAGAATCTCGGCGGGAATTAGGGAAAAGCTTATTTATCATTGGTTCCCCACTATGTATTTTTAATTATATCTAAAGTAGGATCCTCCACTATAAAGAAGATGGCTACATTTCTGTAAAAAAAATAATTTTTGCTTACATTGTAACCAAAATACCATACACTATATTGAAGGATTACACTTTTTGAATTCACATATTGATTCATCTTGCTTAGTCCTTAAATCATCTTCTTTCCAACCTTGTATATTTTTCATTCTTTACAATCCGTATTTGATAATTTCTATTTATCCTTACGATTTGTGTTAAGTTACACCATATATCCTTAGAACTACGTATAAATTTAACTCTATCCATTTTTTGAGTAAACACAGTCAACTCACGCTTTAACACAACTAGTACCCCATGAATGCTTATCTTTCTATACCATTTATCGTTTTTACTATGTAAGGATAATTCCTTCTTTCCCGATGAAGTTAGAAACTTCTCCATGTACTATTGAAACCTTGTTGTTGACATCTCGTCCTAGTTTTTGTCCTGATAGAGACTCCAGCTTCCTGTTTTCATCTTGTTGATACCTTCCATTGCTACTATAGAGAATGCCCAACAATTTCCCTTATTTGATTTTCTTTTTCATGTAGCCCGAAGTGGAAAAAAGAGAAAGAAAATGGAAAACGATTTCTTCTCTAACCACAATTTCCTTCTTTATTGACTAGCGTGACAGGGTTGCTCTTTTTCTTTGTTGACAATACTGGGCCACTTGACAGCAACTAAAATGATTAACTGTTGGGCCTCATAGTTTTATACTTAGTTTGGTCCTCTCTGTATATCCGACCCATTTTTATTTTACTCATTCATTTGTATATACAATACATATAGAAAATTTTGGACAGAACTAATAAAAGAATAAATTCATTTTCTCTCTCTCTAATATTTTTCTCTTTTCGTTTACCTCTCTCTTCTCATTATTAGAGTTTCAATTCTAAATCAAATCTTTCGATTACACTAAGGATCAATGAATTAACATGGTATCAAAGCCTATTATCGATCGTTTATGGCTCCACATATCCACTGACGGTGTTTGTTTCTCAAGTTTCTTTCTTGTCGAAATTTTCATTGCCGGAAAATTTCTGAATTTTTTCTTCGATTTTTGAACGATTTGGTCATAAATGATGAATGCTAAAGAGTTTCAGAGAAGGTGAGCTATTTCTTTGGCAAATTTGTGGCTCGATTCTGCAGAGTACATTCATCCCCAATTTCCGACTCTACCGGTGGTATCAAAGGTCGTGGTGGTTTTCTTTGTGATAAATTGAAGGCATTTTTTCTTTAGGTCGCAAAGAAGGACGATAATATCCTTTCATTACTCAATTTTGGGTTGAAGTGTTGGTAGATACCAATTTTATGTTTTTGTGTACAAACTTGACCTAACTTAGAAATGGAGTAGTCCTGAAGTGAGATCGTCAACTACAGTTGATAGTTTTGATAATTTTACTATACCTCCCTCTCATCCTTTCTACATGCATCCCTTGGAAAGTCTAGGTGATCACCTGGTATCCCATCCCTTTGATGGCGATGGTTTTGTCATTTGGCACAAAAACATGCTTACTATCCTCTCTGTTAAAAACAAGTTAGGTCTCATCACTGGTAGGGTATCCAAACTACAATTTAACTCTCCTTATTATCATTTTTGGGGAAGGTGCAATGACATGATCATTGCATGGATAACAAACTCTTTGTCTAGGGATATAGCCAACAGTGTGATGTGTTTTGACACTGCTAAGGATGTATGGACTGACATTAATGAGAGATTTGGTACTTCTAATGGTTCTAAGTACATTCAACTTCAAAGGGAAATTAGTCTCACTTCCCAAGTTCATTTAGATATTGCTACCTATTTTACTAAACTGGGAGGTCTTTGGGATGAGCTTAGTACTGCTTATGTTGGTCTTGTTTGTTCCTGTGGTGCTCTCCCCAAATTCATTGAAGAGCAAAAAATCTATCAATTCCTCAGTGGTCTGAATGAGTCGTACTGTACCTGCAAGAGCAACATCCTTAGGATGCCATCCATTCCTTCCCTAAGTAAGGCATACTCCATGCTACAACATGATGAGAAACAGAAAGAGACTTATATTCCTGTCCCTGGTTTCTCCCATGATTTTGCCTCCTTCAATGCTTTAGCTGGTTCTTTAAACACTTCTAAGGGTTTTAATCAGAGGGTCCAATTTGATACAAATAGAGGTTCTAGTTCATCTTCCAACCTTCCATGCAGATATTGTAAGAAGCTCGGGCATACCATTGATAAGTGTTATAAGCTACATGGCTTCCCCTCAGATTTTAAGTTTACCAAGAATAGGAGGTTTGCAACTTGTGTTCAGTCTGATGGACATCTTCTGGAACTTGCCTTTACCAAACCAAATTCCTTTGATACAGTGGACATGGATTCAGTAAAGAACAATACCAACATCTCATGACTCTGCTTCAACAAGTCCACACATCTCCTACTCTTCATTCTGAGAATGTTGTCATTGAAAATGCAGGATTTGCCAACTTTGTAGGTTTATACAATCACCCTGAGGTGCATTCAGCTTATTTTCATGCATGTACAGTTTCACACTTAGGTTTAAACCCACCCTTGGATCATAGATTCTGGTGCCACCAACCACATGACACCACATAAACACTTACTTCACAATCTTAAGCCTTTAGTAACACCTTTCCTAATTACTCTACCTAATAGATATAAAGTAAAAGTCATATCTACTGATTCTTTGATCCTCAGGGCAGATATGATTTTACATAATGTCTTATTAGTTCCCTCATTCCATTTCAATTTGATCTTTGTACACAAGTTACTTATTCAGTTCAAATGTCTTGCAATCTTCACTATTTCTAACTGTATTTTATAGGGCCTTTCTCTGAGGAGGCCTCTAGATATTGGTAAGGCTGCAAATGGATTGTACTTCCTGCATTCAACTGATTCTCATTTTCCTTTATTTGTTCCTAGTTCTGTTTCTTCTTCTGGTCAGTCTAATGTTTCTGTTTCTGATCCTAGCACTACTGTTGTTTCAAATTCTGTTGATCATTCTGTATCTCATAGTTCATATTGTAATCCATCTATTGTTGGTAATAAAGATGATGTATTTTGGCATCAAAGATTAGGTCACATTCCATTTGCCAAGATGAGATCTATTTCATTTCTGTCAAATAAGGTGTCAACTAAACAACCATTTTTATGCAATGTATGTCCAATGGCTAGACAACATAGAATTCCATTTTCTGATAGTACCATTCACTATTCTCTTCCTTTTTAACTTGTTCACTTTCCTATTAATTTCGACTAAAGCTTCGACAAATTGCAGAAAAGAAAGCAGCTTTGAATATTCATGGAGATGGAGCTTTTGAGAATTAGGGCCTTTTTTACATCTGATAATGGAGAAAGGGTAGAGGAAAGTCGGGTATGAATGAGACTCCAACGGTAAAATTTAATACTGTTAAAAGGGGAGTGATTTTACCCCTCCTAGAGGCCCCACGCGCGACGAGGATCACTCAATGTGACATGTCAGTGTTTTGTGTTTAAATGATACATGAGGTAAGGGGTTGGAGTGTCAAAATGGAAAAGGCCTAAATAATGTGTCAAAATGAAAAGCGGAACCGGGCCGCTTATGAGTTTGGCCAATATTAAATAAAAGACCCTTCGGGTGACTTGGTTGAACACGGGACTTCTCAAATGGAACTTCTCATATGTCGTCATACGTGCAGTTGAAAGGGTGTGTATGACAGTATGAGTTAAAAAATATATATATATTCGATGCTGCTCATTCCTCATCATTTTGTGCTCATAAAATGATGGGTCCTCTTCAAAGAAATGTTATTTCGGTACTTACGAATAATACATTATGTAATCTATATTTTATTCGAGAGGGATCA